ACACACACAAAACATACACACACACACACACACACACACACACACACACACAAATGGCTTGTTACAGACAAAACGTTAAAACATGCATTTGTAACATTTTTGATAGTATTTTATCTCCACAAATAACAGACACTTCATCTGTTTTGTTGTAACCCTGTTATCTGTCTTGACCATAGACTGTACATAAAGATGTATGACATGTCACCACTTCCTGCCACTGTGAAGCCAAAATATTTTGACTAGTGGGGCGTCCATCTTGCTTTTGTGACACATTTTGCAACCAGATCCTGTGCAGTAGAGACGAGAGGTGGAGCTGCGGTATCAGACCGCCAATAAAAGCTATTAATCATCCAAAATACACTGATGGCCTTTATATACAGCCGACGGTCTGTGCTCTTGTATACTCAGGGTTAGAGACGATTCTTCTAATTTTTGTATCATCACTTTTTTCTTACTGGGTCTCTTTGGTGGGACGTTCCGATTTTTCTATTGTCAAATTGTATTTGTATTTAAATATTCCTTATACGTTTGTGTTTTTCACATGTGCACTCACTGCGTTTTGCTGCTAACTACAGTTGATATCTGTCCCTCGGGATGTGACACCTTTTCATTGCTCTGTTTCTCTGTGGGAGATGTACCCGCACTTATACTGTTTACTATTTGTTGCTACCTGAAACATGTTTGTTGTTAAAACAATAAAACAAACTCACCTCCGAGTCCTTTGCCATGCTTCTTGTCCTTCCCACTTTTATCTTTGTCTCTGTCTTTCTCCTTGTCTCTGTCTTTCTCCTTGTCCTTTTTCTTCTTGCTTTTCTTGCTCTTCTTCTTCTTCTTTGACAGGTGTGTGTATGAATCATCTATAACCAGTTCACCTGCCTCCAGCTCACCCCCAGACAAGGAGCTGTCATCTCCCATGCCACCTCCATAATGACCTGTACAACAGAGAACATTTATAAGAACAGATCATCTTTATGTCCAAGACAATGTTTCAAACCGGCACTTCAACAAGTACAGACAAGACAAAACAAGTATGCACAAAACATACACTCACCGGCCACTTTATTAGGTACGCCTCTACAATTGTATGCACTTCAATGCAACACCTCCGCCTTCACATCTGTTTATGAAGCTCAACATGTTTCAGTTTGTGGTGAAATTGTCATAAATGTATAAATTCAGTTATATACAGTGGGGCAAATAAGTATTTGAT